AGATGACAAACTCCTCTATTATACTACTTTAAGTAAAAGAGAGAAAGACAAAGACAATGTGTGTTTGCTTGCGTTTGTTTATAGTGATTTGATCTAATATTACCCTGTTGCGGAGACAGCTCGCCTCCCCTCGAAGTTTCTCCTCAATGCTGCCAGGTCCAGCCTTCATACCCAGGTTCTTTAAGATTGTAAGACTAAACCTCTCGGGAACCCAGAGTGCAGCCACAAAGCCTTTTAATAAAGGAAAGGATGCGTGTTATTCACGCAGATATAGCCACAGAAAAAAGTTCTTAACGGCAATACGACGGCCAAAATACGACAGCCCTATCTGGAATGTTTTTTTTAATATTCCTAGAACTGAGGGGACAGACGTTTGGCTACCAAAATTAAAGATGATTGGTAAACTAGGAAAATAAATCATAAAAATAATTTTTGTTTTATTATCACATAATACGACGTAATGTAACCCTCATCTAATAATGTGGTCCGCTATTAAAAATTTTGTCCGATTACGCCATCTTATTAGCGTAAATTACGATTTTTTTAATCAGCAATTTATATATAAAGTCTTATCAAATGTCATTGATAATTAAAAAGTGGGATATAATGTTTGTTTAACCCTACCTAGACCGGGGGGGGGGGCTAAAAGTGCCCGCGGCAACTTTGATGTCACCTAGCGTCTGAACGGCTAGCCGTAGAACGGCCAAACAGTCAACGCACCTTTTAAACATTTTAGCTCGGATATGTTTAAGGCTCCAATTCATCTAAGACGGGGCTCTTTCAGCCCTCTTTCTGCGACTTGAAATTGTCCAGAGCGCGGAGAGAGCGGTAAGATAACGCCGAGGTCACCATGTGAGCGCGCTAGGAGCGCCATGAGCGCCGTCACTTTGGCGACTTTTTAAAACCGGTTCATACCGTCACCGTGAGAGCGCCGAGGACGGCGATCCAACATTGAGCGCAAAGAGAGCGCCATGTTCAGTTCAGTTCATCCTAATCAGGTGACACCATGAACTGTCTCCACAAGTTCCTGTCACACATGACAGAGGACAGTTCAACACCGCTCAGACCTATGTCCTCCTCGACCACCCTCTTCAGAGTTAAAGAAGGGCGATCGCGTCTCCGCTTTTCCGTTGGTGACCAGAGAAGTACCAACCCTGCCATCTCTTCATGTCGCATGACATGACCGACCAGCGACAGCCTACGGTTTATTTATTTATTTATTCATGACGATTTACCACATTTGTGGAAGGATTGACATAACAGGTGACTATCACCTTTTCAAAGATGTCAAACCTGAGACCAGACTGTAATGTTTGAACCACTCACACCGGAAAGGTTGCGGATGACTGTTGTAATCCTAGGCATATTCCAATAAAGTTGGTGGCCGTGAGAGCCCACAAAAGGGCACAACGGTCTAGACAGTACAAACATGGCGACCTTGGCAATCTCTCTGCGCTCCGGCCAATTTCAGGTCACAGAGAGCGCGGTGAGAGCCATATGTGGAATGGAGGTAGAAGCAAAAATTGGTACCAGTACAATAATCACCGGAAAAGTCTTGAAGAATGGCTTTGCACATGTTTTTAAGTCTCAGCTAAGGCGTTCCTCGACCCCAGTAGTAATAGGTAAGCACTCCTGCTTACCTGACTTCCTTGGGAGAGTTAAACATACTGTTGTCATCCATCCTCTCGGACAAAGACCGCTTCCTGGAGAACTTGCTTATTTGTTCTTCATCCTGTGTCTATTTTATCGTAGACCAGAACAAACAAAAAATTGTAGCCCCTAAAAAGGGGCGCACAAGACGATAGATAAACCGCTCTACCTGGTGAGACAACTATGTCATCCCAGCCAGGTAAGCACAAAGACCCACCGACAGATGACAAGCATGCATGGATGGATGCATCGATGGGAGAACCCCCGGCTTTGTGCCCACTTTAATGCCACGGTCAGTGTTTGGTAGGTTCGATGGTTGAAAGCGATTCAGAAGCCATTTATACTGAGTGCTATGCGATAGTTTAGTCTTTGTGTTTTTCGATAAATACACAACTTAAATAAGATAACTTCACAATAAATTCACATTCATAGTGCCATTTACATACGAGTAACGCAGTGCATTAGGTCACTGCCATCACATGAAAATTTTGTATCTGCCTGTAAACTTAAGAAAATATCATTTTCTTACGTTTGAATAAATTATGTATATAAGGCTATCGTCAAAATGACAGTGCGATTTTAAGACGATTCTCAGCGCGCGAAAATAAACCTGGTAAGAACGTATTGGACTCCACACCCTTTAAATCGGTAAATGCTGTGTATCCATGACCCTGAGTTTACGACAGATTGCATCATGATACCTGCAGCATGAACGTTGGAGAGTTGAAAATGACGTAATATGTCGTAAACTCAGGGTCCGACCTGTTTTGCGGGGGGATTCTTGAATTCAACATGGCTGCCGATCGGCGATGATTAAATTGTATGGAGTTACTTGATTCGAGGCCGTGTTGTGGTTAAATGCTGCGTTTGGTTAGGGTCTTATCCCCCCGGCCTGGCAGGTGAGTGCGTCGGGAAGACAGGGACACCAAAAATCCGGGCCGGCCCGTTGCATGAGGCCCGGCACGGCACAGGTTGGTTTTCGCCTATGGAGTGCCCCATGAGTGTATCCGGCATTATCATGCAAAGAGATTACTAGAGTCGTCCACGGCTAGAGGGGGGCGTGCCTCCATTTGCTGGACATTTTCGATCGTAAGATTTACGTTGAAAAGATACTGATCATGAATTCAGATACATTGAAAATATTGATGAGGAACAGTATCATGTAATTTTTGGTAAATCCAGTGTGCACTGTGCTGGAGTAGATTGTTGCGAGCATCTCAAAAAAAATATGCAGTATATAAGTATTTTCGATCGTAAAAATATTGTAAGAGTAGCTCGATTGGACCTTACAAAGAATGATCACACTGGCCGCAGACGTGGGTGTAACGGGTTATATTCAAGACACAGACAAGAGTGTATGTACCTCAGACCCCTAGCTGCGGATCATACCATTCGAACTCAAGGGGGGGTACTACTTGCTATTTACACTATCATACACGTTGAAAAAGATAGCGATCTTGGATTTGAATATATTAAAAC